CCCCCCCCGCCTTTCTGTCGCATCCAGGGGTGGAATCCCATTACTGTGATCTCTCTTGATTGGCAGGATGTCCCTCCATCTGGGCTCCCCTTATCTATAAACTGTCATTCTTGGGCTTCAAGTCATCCAAAGGACACTCTCTCCTGGTTACTTCATCCATCTCATTTTTATATCGCCCTCACCTAATGAAGACTGTTAAGAAAAGCAAGCTGTATTTATTTTTAAATTTTTAAATATATATATATTTTTATTGATTTTAGACAGAGGAAGGGAGAGATACAAACATGGATGAGAGAGAAACATGGATCGGCTGCCTCCTGCATGCTCCCTCCTGGGGATTGAGCCTGCAACTTGGGCCTGGGCCCTGACCAGGAATCAGTGACCTCCTGGTTCATGGAATTATGCTCAACCGCTGAGCCACACTGGCCACCAGCCAGGCAAGCTGTACTTATTGATCCCTTGTGTGAGGCAGGCATGATGCTGGGTATTTCTATATCATATCTCACTTAGACCACAGAACAACTCTACCTAATATAGATATTATCACCCTGAAGACAGCCAATAGGTGGCAGAGCCAGTATTTGAATCCAATTATTTCTGACTCCAAAGTCCTCCTTGTCACTGACTCAGTATGGGAACAACAGAAAGTTAGGAATGTGCCCCAAACAGTCTTTTGGGGCTTCACTACTGGGGGCCATAGGAGAAACCAATGAGGGTTAGAGGGACAGCAGAGGATTCTGGTCCTGACCAGCTTTACATATACAGCCTGTAGGTCATCTCTCCTAATGGAACCATCTTTCTTGCCTTTATGTTAAGTTAACCATAAACATTTTCTGTTAAATGAGCAACCGTCTAACCTTTCCTTGAGTTTTGGGAACCACACCTGAGTTGGCACCTTTCCCCTGCATCTAGCCCAATCATTGGAATATAAGGAACTCCATGCATGTTTTTTGGTTGATAAAATATGAAAAAAGTAATAGCTGTTATTCCATTATTTAGCACTCACATTATCCCATCTTTATTATTTTCCCGTAGGTCTTATTTCCACAATTAGAGGGTCTTTGTGGGGAATAAATACAAATATTTTCCTTTTTTTTTTTTAAAGTTTCTAAAATAAAACTTATCCAGTGGCACATACACTGACTGGGGAAGAACAGGCAGTTGGCTAATTTCTCTTGCTTGATTTAACTATTAGATGTCCCCGCTGCTATGGCTAAATAATGCTCAGTTTGGATAAGCTTGTAGAATCCAGGCAGCGTGAAGATACAGATTTAATTTTCTTCCCCAGGATGCTTGGGACGGGCTGGGGCTCCCCATGTTAAACACAAAGGTGGACGTCAATAACTGCCTGTAGCAACTCCTGTTTCCCGTGTATACTCTGGGGAGTCTCATTCTCATTTCCTAAACTGACCGACTAATCAATTCAGAATTAAACCTGTCCAAGCACTTCACCTTGATTTGCTTATTTCTCTGCAATAATTCCATCTATTTAAAACTCGAAACTCCTTAAAGATCTGATTTTGTTCTACCTGGACGAGAGCTCCTTGCGGAGGCCAACGTCCTTGAAGGACGCGTGTGGGGACTTGTTTGCAAAGTCTCCGTTGGATCCCCACATGCTGCACTTTGATTTCTTATTTAATATTCAGTGACACCATCTACTTACGACCACAAACTCCTGGAAGGAGGGGCTCATCCTTCCATCTGATTTGGACCATAATCATCATAATTCTATGCACATTTGGGTGCTTAATACTTCTTGATAATTAGGAGGCAGTGAAAAAAAAAGTAGACAGGCTCCCGAAATAGTTTAGACAGGCTTCCCAGTGGAAGAACTTTCCAGAATATGGCGTGAGACTGTGAAGTGATGTAAATAATGACAGAAAGGGGTTAAGAAAAATGTTTACTACAAGATCCCCCACCGGCAGCATTTAAAGCCTAAATAAGAACAGTGGTAAATGATACGATGTGCAGAAACAATATTATTAAAATATAAGCGAATACTGAAAAATATTTTAATTAACAAAATAAATCAAATGGAAAAGATTCCCTAAATGGAGCTTTAAAAGTGAGCCCGCGCGTGTGTGACGGCCGTGACTAATTACGTGGCCGTGCGATGTGTGCTCAATCCCGGCTTGTTTAAATAGCAGGATGCTCATTAGCTGCAGTATATCTGAGAAGCTTCAGTAAACAGTTTAATGGTTTTTATGTTTAACCAATTTCATAAGTTCCTGTAATTTTAGCTTTAGCAGCTCATTAATGTTATTTTTTGATATCCATCTTAGGACTTTGTTTTTCTTCTTTCCCTCGTCGATGGGCTGGCTGTAGGCACCCTTCAGGCACCCTTAAGACATGCAGCAGAATTTCTTTTAAACAAATTTCTGTACCTAAGTAAATGCACAATTCAGGAATAAAATGTCTTGCCCGGCTGCGGTGGCTCAGCGGTTGAGCATCGACCTAGGGTCCAGGAGATCGAGGTTCGATCCCTGGTCAGGGCACATGCCCAGGCTGCAGCTTTAATCTGCAGTCTGATTGCTTACGGGGGACAACTGATTCGTGTTTCTCTCTCACACTGGTGTTTCTCTCTCTCTCTCAAATCAAAAACATTTTTTAAAAAACCCACAGGTTTTTAATTGTACTTATTTAATTGCATAATTTTCAAGCACTTAAAAACTCACACTAAGTAACCTCAGCTTAGCAGAATCACACCTGAGGTTGCACAAGCTGTTTCTCATGCTCTCTGAGTTACGTTTCCTGAGGTTTGTTTAGGAAAAGATGCATTTTTCTTACTATTCGAGGTGTCAGTTGTGCAACATAAATTTAGACGGGTGAGCTAAACGGTCGTTTCATAGGCGAACCATCCAGAGAATTGCTGGTTCAACACGGCTTTGCTTTTACTGTTTTTGGTGATGCACAGAGTCGCAAGGAGGGGACGATTTTTTGGGTAACATGATGCCATTTCCTCATGGCTCATTTTTTTTCCTTCCTGAACCCAGTTAATGAATAAATAAACCACACGGCGACTGTGTCTACTTGTCACGGAGACATCCAGAGGAGAAGTGACAAATTCGGGCCATCAGCCCGCTATCGGGAAGCATTTATCTTGATGACATTCAACATCTGGAAGGTTCCAGACACCGAGATGCCTGATGCCTTGCAGATGAGCCATCCTGAGGCCCGGCTGAGACCTCCCTCATCTGTTGCACGCATGTGCCTGCAAGTACCTCCCCCCGTCTCAGACACGAGCGTCCTTCCGGCTCGGCTAGAGCAGGACGCCGGGCACAGGCCGGGTTTCTGTGGCTATTGCTGTTAGTGAATCTCTGCCCGGGAGAAATCTCTCTCTTTTCCTTTCAGTAAATGAAAGAGTTTGCTGTCACGTCAACAGCGTGTGCTGGAAGGCAAAGGGTTTGCAAAGGGAAGCCACCGGGAGCCGTGTGCGCGAAACGTAACACACAACGGTCTACCCCCGGCGACGGGCCGTTCAGCTGGATGCCACACGAAACACTTCCGTTTCCCGCCCCTTCCTCTCAGCGCGTCGCGCCAGGGGACCGCCCAGAGGAATGACCCGAGCTCTAACTTCCTGGCTGGGTGGATCCAGCGGGGGCTGGACACGGGGGACCCGACCCACGGTTCTGGTTCCGTCTGTCGGCCGGGCCCCCAGGGTCTGAATCGCTGACGACTGCCCGGGTCACCTTCCCTGTCACACTTCCTCCCTCAGGTCTGACTGAGGAGAGAGCCGATCTTACGGAAGAAACACGGCAGACGCTGGGACAAGACAGAATATGTATTCTGATCATCGGCTTAAATGGGAGATTAATGTTCTTTTCAAATCCCCCCACTTTAAAAATAATCCTGTATAAAAAGCATTAAATACCTTTTTAAGCCTCTTAAGGCTGCTTGCGTTCCCACCCGAAGGAAATAAACATCTAAGTGAAAACAGCTCCCGGGGAGGAAGCTGGGAGTCCGCCCGGCCCCCGGCCGTACCTTGAGGGTCACTGAGGACCGAGCCGAAGGCGCTGATGACCACGTCCGCTTTCAGCTGCACGCTCTGCTCCCCATCCTCGCGCCAGCTCCCTGACTCGTCCTGCTCTGTCCGGACGAACTGCATCCCCACGATTCTCCCCCCTTTCACGATGACCTTCCGTGGGGCCAGGAACGGCAGGAATTCGCACTTCTCTTCCTTGGCGAGCTCCATCTGAACAGAACAGGCAGAAACTGAAGCCGTCTCCTGCACCTCCCACCGCGCTTTCCATCCCGATGGCGCGCTCCGCGGCAGGCGCGGAGACCCCAGAAACCCGCGCGGCGCTTTTGCTCAGCCCAGGCTGGGCCGCGGGCACCGGCCGTGTACGCTGTGTAACGCACTGACCACTCGGGAGGCCTCGAGCTGGGGCCGTCCCGTGGGGCCTGGACATCAGGCATCGCATTATGCTGAGCGGAACAGGCCCGTCAGAGAAAGACTGTCCCGTGATCTCACCCAGATGCGGGATCTAACGGACACAACAGACGGGTGAACAAAATAGGTCGAGACACAGAAGCGTGGAGCGGACTGAGGGATCTCGGGGGAAGTGGGGCAGGAGGAGATGAGCCAAGAGCTTATACACACGTGCGCACAGCCCATGGACACGGACAACACCGTGGGAAGGCCTGGGGTTCGGGGGAGCAAGGGGGTGGAAAGAGGAACATCTGTAACACTTTCAACAATAAAGATAATTAAAAAAGCAAAACAAAACCAAAAAACCAACAGGGTATTGCTCGAGTCTGAGGCACTGTGTGCCCTACGGTGCGAGTGTGTGTGAGGTTTCTGACTAGAGCGGCCTGGTCTCCTTGCTTTCATTTCTGCAGGTTAAGCTCTCTTTATATTCATGCCTCATGTGGAAACAAACCCCCCTGATTATTACCAGGGTGCATCTCTCCAAGCTGGAGAAACGTCAGCCGAGTGGGTGAGCCTGTCGGTGGGACTAAGTGACGGTTATTCTTACTTTTGTAAAAATGCAAATGAAAATTGTAAGAGAGGGGGGGCATGCTCCCCTTGAAAAAGTCCCTGCCTTCCGCGCCTCTTACATAATCCATCCTGTTTGTTCACATGCCCGTAACGGGTGCTCATCAGTACAGAAGGTAAGGATCTGCTTATTTACTTTCCCACGCACTGTTCCCCCCCCAGAGGTTGAGGGGTGCTGGGCCCCCCTCCTTCCCCTCCCCTGTGGCAGGCAGGTGGGTTCTCAGTAGGACCCCGACGAGGGAGGTGGAAAAGGCTGTGGGTGTGTGTGAGGTTTCAAACCAGGAATGACCTGGGCCACACCGAGATGGAAAAGTGAGCTTTAGCACAGCCTGTTCGATGTCGTCACAGCGCGGGCCCGCCTCTCAGCAGTCCATCCACCCCCGGCTGGTGGGCGCGAGCTCTGCCCTGCGTCCCTCACCGGGAGGGCCTGCCGAGCAGGCCGCGTGGGCCACCCCGGAGTTTCCAACCCTGTGGGCCTGGGTGCGGCCTGACCCTGTGCCTCTGTAACGTATGTTCCAGGTGACACTGCCCTGCTGGCCCAGGGGTGACACTTGGAGAACCACTGTCTCCACTGGACTACCACTGACCGGCTCTGACGTGCTCGGTCCGTGCTATGCATTCGCGGTGAGAGTGACATCACCCGCAATGGGGGGAACGTGGATTTTTGGAGAAGGAAACGTAGCGTCATGGTTTGTGACACCGCCAGCCCCCCCCCCCC